TACCATCGCGGCTCTGCGCACCCTGCCCGCCCGATACCGGCAGTGCCAGCCGCTCTCTGGGCTTCCCGTGCTGGTAAGTGCCTCTAACGACCGTGCCACGATTGAAGGGCAAAAAGAAAAGCTAGATCTAAATCAAACAGAATCGAATGCTTGCTCTTTAATTTAAAAAAAAAAAAAGTATATTAATATAATCTCATATGATGCAGTATTTTAGCAGTGGGGAAGATCTGTTCTATGTGCTATTGATATATTATAATTTTCATAAGACCGTTGCTAGTTGTGATGCTAAGGTTGGGCCTGAGAGACTAATTATGGTAAGGAGTGGTAAATTACTTGCATAGCTGCCAAATATGCTAAAAATAACTAACTTAATATACATAATGTTTGAGGAAAAATAGATCTGCTGAAATCACAGCTGTATTTGAAAACTGGGCATGTCCAAGTGCCTGAGGTACGATTTGCTTTCTTGTATTATAAAACCTGCTTCTAAGCAAAGGGTGCATCTACATTAGTGTTTCAGTTTGGATCATGTCAGCTTTTTTCCAAATCAGTCTGGTGATCTTCTTGATTCCCTGTGCTCTGGTTCATGCCACTGAGTGACTTTAGAGTAATTGCGCTGTACTTTTATTAAGTAAGAAAGACCAAACTGGAAGGTGCAGGCATTCAGTCTGCAGGACTAAACTAGAACTAGTCCAGCATAGAAACCTCTGAAGCAGATACAATGTAGATACAATCTGGTCTTCAGCAGAAACACAGTTCCGTGTACCCTCTCCTGCATTGCTCTGCTAGCTGATATAAATGTAACTAAGATTTCCAGGGAATCTTATAAAAATCAAGTTTTCCAGTTCTCTAGAACTGAGGTGAGGACACTCTAAAAAAAATAATCATATCACTTGTATTGCAATTTTAAAAAAAAATTAAGACCTTGGTAATTTACAGCTCTCTTCCATGGTTGTTTTTACAAGCTACTTCTTAACTATCATTCTCAGCAAGATAGCTATGCATGCCTGGCTGCACGATCCAGCTGTATATAATAAATCAAGACAGAATATGTTCTAAGCCTCTCTAATACTGTAAATAAGTGAGGTAACATCAAGACCAGACTTGCAAGAGTTTGTAGTGGTCAGAGGCACTCAGTGAGGTTGCTGGGTTTATGCATGTGCCCAGCCTCAACAAGATGCATTCAGCAACTACACAGGTAATAAAAAAGGAGCTTTCCCTTTGATACCCTAATTGTGGATATTCAGTGCTTTTGTTGCAAGGTAGTAACAATCAATTAATTACACACAGCTGGATGGCAACAAAATATATCTGACAACTTCTGTGTTAGTTCCCAATGCAGAAACTGATTATGGATTCTTTCAGTTTCCCTTTTTCCATTTCATTTAAACTTTAAACCAAAAAAAAAAAAAGAAGAAAAAAAAACCTGGTTGCATTGTCAAATGTATGGAAAAAGCTTTATAATAGAGCATCTAACATAATATATGGAAATGTAAGCAGATATTCTAGGGCAAGTCAATGCTTAATTCTCCTGTCAATTGTGTTGTGAATTATTCTGAAACCAACCAAGTAAGAATGCTGATGCTGCAAGCTGCAACATGCCACTAAGTTCCTCTTTTATTTTTAGAATCAAAATAATACAGATAGAAGAGGAACAAAGTAAGAAGTTAACCAGCATGAAGTTACTCATCTTCCTCACAATAATCCTGGGCACACTTGTCACAGGATTAGATTCTGTAAGTTTAAAAATAAATGAAGAGGGGGTTTTCACATAGAACTTTTTCTGGGTTTGATTATACTTCTGCTTTGGACAATGTAGTAGGCTTTTGACTTGAACTCTCCTTTTCACTGCATTTGCATGTATCTGTACATCTGCTGCACATACACCTCTGAGAAACATGTTTTGGAACCATTTGGTTTTCCTTCTGATTCTGTTCAACCTTAAGATGTCTGCTACCATTTAAATAATGAAGACATCATGTAATAGCTGAGAAATACAGCTTTCCTAATTTTTTTTTTTCTTAATGCAGTTTAGACCTGGACACTGAGTACTGAGAGCTTACTGGTCTTTCATGGAGGTGGATATCAGGCTCTAATTAAACTTCTACCTCCTCTACTTGAAAGTGTAAAAAAGGAGCAATAAATATGAATTTGAATATTTTTCACTATGAACTTGTATGACATTTGATATCTATCAGCAGAGCCATTCATCAACATTACAGAATGATATTGTTACCATTACTTGTTTTAGCTTAGGCAAGCCAACTTGACCTCTGGGAAAAGTAAACTGAAAGCCTAATCTTTTTTTTTTTTTCTTTTCTAATGGAGAAAGAAGTAGTCAGCCTGCAAATCAGAGGCAAGACTTGAAGTACAGGGCAAGAATCTATTGTATAAATTTGGCTTCTGTGGCACAGACATGAAGCACCAAGGTCACCAAAATGACAGAGGCAGCTGGAGAATGTTGTATCTTTGCTGTCCTGCTTGGTGGCTGAGAGTCGGAGAGGGAGAAGTTCCCTCTCCCGTTTTAGGGGCACTGACCTTGGAGAGGTGCTTAGGTCCTTACAGCAGCCTTAACTGCTATATTGACCTGATGCAGTGGACCAGCTTGGTGAGGGGTTTTTTACTGAAGGTTTTCTTGTCATGTGTATTTTGTTCAGTTTTTTTTTTTCTTTCTTGCTCTGCTTTGCCCAAGTACAGTTCGAATTCTCATTCCCATCCAGATTTGACAGAGTAGGTTCAGTTCATAACTACATGGAAAAAACTAAACTGTTGAAGCTATGCAGTAAGGAACAGAGCTTGGGTCCATAAAAGATAACCAGACCACATAAACTGTTTCCTTAAAATCTTGTTTTCTTTTCCCTCAGGTCTATAGCAAGTGGTACTACAAGCTGCAATATAAACCCAGATCAGACCACAAGGGTAAATATCTGCTTGTTGTACTTGAATCTAAAAAGACCTTGTTATCCTACAATTCTATCTTCATATAAGAAGGAAGATTTTTCATGATAAACCAGGTTTTCGGTGTTTGATTGCAAGTGCATTTCACTTCATCATTCAAGTGCTTTGTCTCTAATTAGTGATGCCTTTACTTGCAGAATGCCATTGTTTGAATGGAGGAACCTGCATTCACTATTACATCTATAGTGGACGTAGTTACTGCATATGCCCAGAAGGGTACGCCGGGACTCACTGTGACATAGGTAGAGTGTCTATCTTCCTTAAAATTAAACTGATAAAAAGATCTAAAAAGCTAGGCAAGTCATAAATATGAAATGCCAAGTGTAAGTGGCTATGTTGTAAAGCATGCAGAAGCCATTAAAGAAGCAGTATGCAGGCTTTAAAGCGTAAGATAATTGATGCTCAAAATTCATGTAGATCAAACTTAATGCAAAATCTGGACTGATTATACATCTTATCTGTTTTCAAGTGTAATGCATGAGTTTGCTTCTCATTAGAAGGATCCATACAGATTATTTCTGTTTTGGAACAATTATAAACAAGAGCATGCTGCTAACAAAATATCTGTTCTTCTCAGACCTTGACAGTGTATGCTATACTGAGAATGGGGAGGACTATAGAGGAATGGCAACAGAAGACGAATGCCTGCCGTGGGACCTTCCCTCTGTGGTCAGGAGGGCTCGTTACCATGCTCACAGGAGGGATGCTTTGCAGCTCGGACTGGGCAAACACAGCTACTGCAGGTAAGAAAAGCATTGGTTCATGGAGTGAGTTTTACTGTTACAGGCCCAGAAGGGCCTCAAGTAATGGTACATGTTTTTAACAAATAACAAAATATTAGAGGTTAATTTTGAGTGAAAAATATTTGGAATGCTACTCTGAAGTGATGCTTACCACTGAAGCGCATCGTACTGCAAAATTCCCAGTAGGCACCAGAGAAAATAACTAACAACTGATTATATCTTGCAACAGAACACTTTTGGCCTTTTCAGGACAGTTAGCTTAGAATCTTAGATAGTATCTACTATAATTTTCTTTTTAACTGTGTTTTGTGAAAAGAGCACTTTCTTTATCTTCTAGAAACCCAAATGGAAGTAACAGGCCCTGGTGTTACACAAAAAAGGGATCTACCATTCGAGAAACGCCCTGCAACATAGAAAAGTGTGGTAAGTGACACTAGTTTCAGGACAACTGATGTGTTTTGGTTTTTTAATAGCACAAGTTGGTGCTTAGCAGTAAGAACATCTGAACAAAATTTCTGTTCATAGGGCCTGCGTGTGGACAAAGGAGCATCAGCAAGTACTTCAAGATTGTTGGTGGAAGCCAGGCAGAGGTTGAGTCTCAGCCATGGGTAGCTGGCATCTTCCAAAACGTAAGGGGCGTTGACCATTTTCTGTGCGGTGGCAGCCTCATTGACCCTTGCTGGGTGCTTACAGCAGCGCACTGTTTTCATAGCCCGTAAGTTTACAGTTCCCCATCCTACTTATCTGCAACTTCCTTCAACTGATTTCTTTGTGTGATGCTCACTGAGCAACCCTTTGAAATGTGCCAGAGTAAGAATGTTCTCCTCTTTGAGCAAAAGAGCAGCCCTAAACATCAAGCCCCTGGGATCCCAAGTCTAGCAGAATGAGCTGTTGAGGTGTGAACATTTTAGTGGATTGTGGATTTAGATCACTTACTTAGGCTAAATTGGAGCCACCATTTCATTTTTACCTTGGCTGTTCCCCAAACCTTAAAGTTGTACTGAAAGGTGATGAGCTGTTGAGCAATATATTTATGGGTGTTTTGTGTTGTGGTTTCCTGTGGAAAGATGACCTTTCTGGCACACTGCAGAAGATTCTCATCCCCAGTTCCTGGTACTAGTAGCAGCTACCTAGGTGTGCATTTCAGAATGCCTGAACATCTAAATCCCTTCAAATGGAAAATCAGGATGCCTTCCTTTAGAATACTGGATCAACTTTCAAATTTGACTAAGTTTTGCTTTTTCTTGTTGGCATTAAAGTAATCTTGAACCAGAACTCTGGGACTGGATCTAAATTGTTGACCTTGCTCTCAGAAACCAGTAGCCTTCACGAGTCTCTTTACTCTTCCTCAGGTCAAAAAGAACACCACCCAAATCTGTCTACAAAGTCTTCCTTGGAAAATCCATACTGAATGTTACTGATGATAAGGAACAAGTCTTCATGGTTGATGACATCATCTCTCACCCTCACTTTACAGATGACACAGGTGGCAATGACAATGATATTGGTAAGTGGCTGAAGGCCATGTTAATTGTGGCATCCATCTTCCAAAAGGAGTAGAACCAGACATGAGATGGAGAACAGGAATTAGGCACTTCTGAGAACTAGGCCTGCACTTAGCAAGATTTTTACACCTGTATAAATTCAGTTTGTGGCATATGTTAGATGCATTACCCAGCACGCAATCCACTACAAGCCTATCTTATATCTGGATCCATACAAGATATGGCTTTTCCATAAGTACTGGTGGCAGTGTCCTATTTTTACTATTGTATTTTATGTTTACAATAATCACACTGTGTAGTAAAGGATGAAAAAAGGCATGCACAGTATATTTCATTATATAGTAGTGGAATGCCATCTCGGGTACCACATTAGCCAAAGGTTATCTTGAATTAATCCAGACTTTAGTAAGTATCTCTGGCTTTCATAAGCCTATCCCTAAATCAACACAGTCCGAGAGGGGCTTTTGCAACTTGTACAAAGCAGACTTGCCACTCTTGCACTTGACACTTGGCACTCTACCACCACTTTCTGCTAAGGGAAAAGACTCAAAAATGAGCTTCATAAGCCTTTCTGGTGAGTGTTACAGTATAAACTGCCCCCTCTTCAGCAGGGCAGTGGGTACCACTCTGCAGCCAGTCAGGAAGGTCTTAAAACATCTGAAGATACACTTGCAGAAGACTCTCTCCCCTGAGCTGTCAGCCCCTGTCCTTCCAGGAAGGAAGTTCAGGTTGGAATATCTGACAATTTTGGTGCTGGGAAATTTTGTTGTTACTAAATAATGACCCAGTCATTCCAAAAAGCAATAAAAGGAACTATTCTCACTAACTGTACCTGATAATCCTATTGTCAGAGAACTGGAAAGGAAAAGCTTTCTTTATAATCTAAATGTATCTTCTGATTTGTGTTTTAGCTTTGATAAGGATAAGAACAACTTCTGGACAGTGTGCAGTAGAATCCAAATATGTCAGAACAGTCTGCTTGCCAGCGAAGAACCTTGACTTGCAAGATAATACTCGGTGTGAAATAGCTGGCTATGGAAAACAAGATTTTTGTAAGTGAATGACTTCTGTTTCCAAATTTGTACTTCCACAGTGTGGGATTTATCTTTGCTATCATCTTTACTTGTCCATGGCATTTCCTATTTGATGCTTCTTACACTTGTCAATTGTATAAAGTAAGTAAAGATGTAAACCAGCATTTTTTTTTTTCCACTCCCGATGTGATGAGGAGTATAAAAAATTACAGCTGTGTTGGAAGATTAACAAAGGATTATCTTTGTGCAGAAAATACTTTAAAACTATCAAACTCTTTAAAAATAAGCTTTATGGCTTGCATGCGGAACACTTGTTTTTCTCTTAAACTTATTAACAGCAAAAGTAAAACAGCACTGCATAAGCTGAAAATAAGAATCTCAAGGGGGAAGTGGAATGGGCTGTGCTAATTTAAGTGCTGAAAGTAGGTGTTATGGGGTTTTTTTTGCTTTATTTTTTATTTTAGATGGTGAAAATAGTTAAATCTTTTGTTTGCAGATGACATCTACTATGCTCAAAGACTGATGTCAGCCACTGTAAACTTGATATCACAGACAAAATGCAAACATGAATACTATGACAGTATCAGAGTTACTGACAACATGGTCTGTGCTGGAGATCCCACATGGATGACTGATGCATGCAAGGTAAAACTAGTTTGTTTTATCTTTTAAATAACTTTAAATGCATGTACAGTACATGGATCAGCTGGTGGCATTTTGTAGTTCTAGTCAAAAGAGTCTCTATGTACTAGAAATGGAAAACATCCAGTGCAGTTGACCCATGGTGTAGCTAAATATATGGAAGAATGTTGGGACCTAGAGTTAAGTGTTACCCCCTCCAGACACTCCTTGGGAGGCGCAAGAAGTGCAGCACCTTGGCCAGTGTTATTCCTCAAGGCCTTATCTCCAATCTATTCAAGCAGTGGTTGGTAGATATGTATCACAGGAGTACAGCAGCTATTTCAAAATTGGCTAGCACTTCCTTAATGTTAACTACAGCTCCGCAAAGGCGTAAAAAGTGTATTATAGGTGGACACTGAGCCTGGCAACAGATTGCTCAAAACCAGATTTATTTCCCTGGGCAGAGTGTCCATATGAGCCACTTAGAAGGACAAACGTTGTCCTCAGATGCAAAAAGGGAGACAATTGATTCTATGATGAAGAACTGAGCATGTTGGTTTTGACCTAATACCACTGGCCTAACAGCTGTGATTATAGACTTAGGATGGAGTGTCATGTACAATGTAACTATTCTCTCTGCACCCTGCTGGGGAAAAATAGAGACCTCCTCACTGCACAGACTGTGTTCAAGTCACAGCAGGTGCTGGACCTCTTGTTCCACCTATGCAGAGTTCTCAAAAACCAGAACTTGAGCTCACAGGTATTTACTAGCTTGTTTCACTCTAGAAAAACAATAGTCACAGGCTCGCTGCTCTAAAGGCTCCATCTGCAAAAAGTGGCCTAATATACTGTTTTTCTGTTGTCAGGGGGATTCCGGTGGCCCCATGGTCTGCGAGCACAATGGCAGAATGACGCTGTATGGAATTGTCAGCTGGGGAGATGGCTGTGCAGAGGAAAACAAGCCTGGTGTTTACACCAGAGTTACTCGATACCTTGACTGGATTGACTCCAGTATGAATGCGATAACTGCCAAGAGTCATTTTCGTCCTGAACCAAAGTGAACTTTTTTCTACAGTTGGGCTCAGATGAGCAAGATTTAAGCCTATACTGACGTTGGGACACTAAAGTCCTGGATGTAGTGAGAGGCTTTCCTTTTTAAATGCTCATGTGGTCTGCCACTCACATTGCTGTTTCTGAAGCAGAGAGATGGCTGATAGAATATCTTACTAGTCTGAATTACCTGAATACCACTCAGTGGGAAGCTAAAATATTTAACATTTAAATGAGTGTTCCCATGTATGATACTATGCCTATCAAGTTATCAATCTGCTTCATTTATGAACCAGCATTTCACCTAGAAGTATTGGTACAGTTTTAACTTATTTAACACAAGTATGCATTTTATACATGGGCTGAGTCTAGATTCTTTCGTCACTGTACTGAACAACACTAAGACGCAAGGCCTAGAAAACTAATATCTTGATACCAGTACTGAAAGTATGATCGGGCTTTGCATCAGAAAGTGTGTGTGGAAAAAAACTGCATCAGCAAGTGGGGAAAAAATACCCAAGTGCATCAGCATTATTACCACTAATTTGTGAAGAAGGAGCAAAGTGTTTAGACTGAGGCAACACTTGTTGTACAGGGTTCATTGCTGCAGACCCAACACATACTAACATTTATCTCAGCATTACAAACTCTTAACGTATCCCACTTAAGAACTGTGCTGCATGAAGGCAAAATGGAAACTTGACTGGAATTCCAGGTCACAGCTGAAGGTTTCTGGGTCCCCTAAAACATCTAATTATGCAACCTCTCTAAATATACCTACGCACCCCAGAGAGAGTTTAAGGACTCAGTAGCCATTGAATGCTGCAGGGGTCAAAAGTCAGAACTCTATTTCCATTCATTTAACTGATATTATATGGAAACTAATTTTTTTGTTAAGACATGCTGTTTTTATTTTTAAACTTGTCTTTGTTTTATAGGTTTGAATTATTTGTATGAGGGCTGGAACCTCAAGTTTATTTAATTATTTTTGTGTTTAACTTATTGTTTGTATTATGGATGTTAATATCATTAAAAACTGTTATTCTTACATGTTTGTTTCCACTCTCTTGAAAAAGGAATTGTAGAATTCAGGATAGAACTTAATAATGATAGTTCTTTATCTGAACTGTCATGTCCCTTGTTAACACAAAAATGTTTGAACTTCTCTTTTTAACTATTTTGTGCGAAAATTAACGTCTTCTATTCTGGGCTAGAGTGCTAGAAAACTGTGTGCACTAGCAAGATATAAAGCGCAGGCTCAAAAACAGTGCTGAGGCTCTACTATCCATGTTACGAGAGCTTCAGGATCCCTGTCTAGCCCTGTGAACCAGCTATTCTCAACTGATTGTGGAACTTTTGGTGAATGTGGGAAGTAAAACATGGTGTTTATGTTTCACCCAAAGGGAATAGAGTTCTCATGCTTCAGCACGACTCTACAATAAGATCCAAATCACTTGATGGGGGGAAGTGAGACTCTAGTTTCAAAAGTTCACTCAAGTACAGTTCTCAAGGTCTTCTCTTTTGGGTGGATAAGACAACATCATGAGATCCTACCATCACTTCAGCATCCTAAACAACATATAATCATAGGATTGTTTAGGTTGGAAAAGACCTTTATGATTCAGTCCACCTGCTAACCTAACAGGGGAAGGTCCACCACTAAACCCTGTCCCTAAGCACCATATCTACATGTCTTTTAAGTGCCCCCAAGGATGGTGATTCCACAACTTTCCTAGGCAGCCTGTTTCAATGCTTAACAACCCTTTTGGTGAATAAATTCTTCCAAATATCCAACCTAAACTTCTCCTGGTGCAGCTTGAGGCCATTTCCTCTTGCTGCTTGTGAGAAGAGACTGGTACAGTCTCATAATAACACTTTGGTCAAATGTTTTTTGTCATATTATACACACAAAAGAATGTAAATAACCTCTGAAGGCAGAAACTTTATTTTCCTTTTTTGTTTTTTTTAATCAGATAGAGATGAACTAAATAAACTGATGAACTCATTGTCAGATGTCTTCATAGGAAGGCAACTGTGAATTCAGAGTTGCTCAGGTACAAATTATGTTATGTCTTGTAGCTTATTGTAGTGTGAGTAGATGAACCTTGCACCTGGATGATGGAATGATAGAAATAAGAATCTTAATGAAATCTTGTCCTTCAGACTCAAGACTGACCTGTGTAACATCTGGACTATTTCCAGCTCTGTTATTGTTAACTCCATGTCTTTATACCCAATTTCCTGTCTATAAAGCGGTCAGGACAGTACTTCCTTTCTCCCATGGGTCTGTCTGGGTATAATTTGTCAGGAGGAGGGGCAATTGACCATCATGTGAATGTGCTGTAACATGCTGACATCTCAGTCTCACACAGGGACAGCAAGCACTACGTAAACACAGGATGATTACTGACAATACTGGATTGTGAGCTGTGTGGCAATACAATTTGTGGCTGGGATCTGCAAACAGCAATTTATTTGCAGAGATTACCACTGTGTGTAGTAGACTCACTCGGCACAAGTCTGCTGTTTGTGGGCAGCTGAGTAAAGTTTGTGCAGGGAGTTAAAAGTGCATTGTTTCTAAGAGAACAAGCTGGAGATCTCCTGTCAGAGACTATGAGACCGCAAACTGTGCAACATGAGAAGGGAGGCACCTCTTCACTACCTTTCCGGACCGTAACTACCAGGACAGCCTGACTACTGCTGGCAGAGAATACTTAGGGCACAAAATAAGCGATGGTAATATAGTTCTAGACAAAAATATACTAAGTTTTAACCAAGTCTTTCAGGATGCTACAGCTTCCTCACTTCATTATTTCCTTTATTTAAACATTTACCAAAGTACTCAAGTCAACAGGTTTCCAACTGGTGGAGAATAGAAATATCCTCAGGACAATTGCATATGATTACCATTGTAATGAATGGCACATTTGTCATCAACATCTATGGGCTTTTTCTATTAATAAAGTCAATACAATTTAAATTTTAACTTATTCCTATCATTATGAATCTAATTAAGAATGAAAAAGGAGCAATAAATAAAATTCGCATTTAGGTCTCATTTTGAAATGCAGGAAGTTTTCAAAACTGTATGAATGAAGAGAGAGTCTTGAGAGCAGAGGAAATGTCCATGCTGTTTTGGGTGTGCAGTCTTATTTAATCTTTAGTTTGTGTTGGATAAGCTGCCCCAACAAAAATGAAATCTTTAAGCAAATGTACAGTGTATACACACCTCTACTTTGGCTGCTATAATATTTTATATAATCTCCTTCAATGTTCTCTACATGACTTCAGCCCCACAGCTACAATCTTCTAGATGGCTAGTTGTCAGAGCCTGGGAAAAAGCAGGGCAGAGGAGGAGAGCACTCCTGTAAAAAACTTTTTCTTCCTGTAGCAGAATTCACAGGAAACATTGTATTTTCCTTCTTACACAGAGTGAGCAGAGGATGATCCAGGCTGTGGTGCAAGTCATGATGAAGAAACAAAACCAAACCAAACCAAACCAAAGCCCTCACAGAGTTTGAAATCAGAAAATGGTTGACAGTGTCAGTGTGGAGAATTAATATTTCTAAGGACAGTGTGACCAAACTCAAGACAAAGGGCTGATTTGTAATCAGATGGAGTCAAGATAGTGTAAACTCATTTTGGCTTATTTTAAGCTCTGTAATGAGTTGTTCAAGAATTTAGGCTGCATCCTTTAGGTTCCCCCAAGGCTGTGGTGCTGGCCAGCGTGAAGAGAAACAGCCTCAAGAGCTGTGCATGGAGCTCGGCAAATACCACCGCAGAACGACAAAAAAAAACTAGAGAGAGGCTGTTTTTGGAAGATATCAGCTATCTAGTTGGTACTAACATACGTGCGAGACAACTGTTGATATAAATATGCTCTCACTTAAGTACATTGTTCATGATTTCAGGTATTTGGCAGGCAACAGAAAGGAGTAGAGTGGGAATCCAGCAAGTATTTAAAAACAGCTGAGAGGTGAGCGTCAGCCTAAGAGAAGAGACCATCCTCTCAGAATCCTTAGGAACGTAACTGATATGAACACAAGCGCCTACTTATCTTCATTACATCCTCAGAAGAAACATATTAAGCAATGAGGATAAAGCAGTATCTGATATGTCCAGAGCACAGGAAGTTAGTTTAACCTGTCAGGTCTTAAAAGGAAGTGATGCATCCGGAATAGACAGCCCATTTTACCTTATATAGATGAAGCGTTCTTCATGGAAGTGAAACTAAAATGTGACTCAAAGCACTTTAAAATCTAAGTTATGATGAAACATGATATATAGTCACCTGTTTGTTGCCTATGTTACACCACTTCCACGTAGACTGGTATGTGTGGGAGGATTTAGTCTGTGCATACTGAAGCCTGAACTAATAAAAAGCAGTATGACTATTTGGTCACCAAGCCTTTGGCTCACTTCTCACACTTAAGCAGAGCACTTGCTTTGGAGCAGACGAGAACAGAGCTTACCCATGAAAAGAGAATCAAACCTTTCTGCAATCAGCAGGCTTGTAATCTGGAGTTTCAGATACCTCCTTCTCAAGCCTCCTTCTCAATCTCTAGTAAAAACGTGACAAACTTGAAACAAGGCATATTCATTAAAGCGTAAATCTAGGCTCAAATTTGATATGACAAGCCCCCTCTGTATCCACCATATCCCACGGAATTATAGAAATGGGCAATCTGAGCCAAATTGGAGTTGTACTGTTTAACCTTTTGACAACTGAAGTTGACTCATTCAGATTTAGGCTGCACTTGTTTGTTAGGCTACACTAATCCAAACAGAATTCAGAGTGAGCTTGGCACCCAGAATTATCAGAAATGAGCAAGTTAATAAAGTCAAGCAGCAATAACTAAATGCACAGATGTAGATGAGTGATGGCTGGTGTTAAAGCAGATCCAGAAGGCAGAACAGCCTACAAGCTATACTTAACAGCATTGAAAAAAATACGTAAACGTACTGACATATACAGCAGAACACAGTTTATGAACCTAGGGACTGGGCAGAC